TTCGAGCGGTGTCATGCCTCACAGAGTTCGGTCGGACGCCTAAACCAACTCCAACCTAAGATCGATGGCCTCCAACCCACATGCTTCACAGGTTGAACTAGTCTGGACGAACACATGGGACCCTAAACACTTTGGAGAGGTGTGATGATAAGACAAAGACATGCCTAGGCCTCACAGTGTGATGTCACTGGATGAAGACTTGGTAGTGGCGAGAGTGTTCGGGTGCAGTGAATTCAATTCATTGAAAAGAATATTCTTGACCTGTCCAAATTCACCTGACTGTCATGAATTGGATGTGTCATAGGTGCTGGAAGGGAGGACATAATGTTGCCGTGACAGAACACACTTTGCTGGTCAGGGCTGCTTTAGGAGCAAGCGCCCACTCAGCGCATGCTTGCTTTCTTGGTATCCCCAAAGAATCATTTGTGTAAGAGCTTTCTTCTGCCAATCTCGAATTCAAAAAGAACTCCACCTGGACACTAATGGTGCACGTTGGACACTTCCATTCGCCTTCCGAGCGGTGCACGCCCTTGGACATGCCCTCAGTCTGGGTTGGGTCCACTCCGTTATGCAGCATCATTGCCTCATCGCCGCAGGCTCCACGGATTTGACGGTTGGGAGAACAAATTCGCTTAGTTTGGGTGTTTGTTCGAAGGAACAAAGACCGTTTGTGGCGGTTTGTGTTTGTGGATCTGAGAAAACCTTGGGCAATGGCAATCACAGCTTTTGGCTCCTCACCCATTGGTGGGATTCCTGGCACACTTTCCATCAAGATCTTAATTCAGGTCAAGAAGTCTCATTTTATACGGTTTGTTCGATCGACCCACATCACTGCAAAAATGCTACAAACAACAACTCAGACTCCAGCGGAGGTTGGAGTTGTGAGAACTTGCAATCCAAGCAGTAGCCACCTTTGTTCGGTTGAACTGTGGCTGAAACCGAGTGCTGTGACAAGCAAAGTTGATCAAACTTGGCTCACCTGTCCAGCTTCAACTTCCAACCACAAGCCTAGTTTACTACAGTTATCTATAGTTTATATATGTTTATATTATACAATAACGTTCAATATTCGCGCGTCCCTCATAATAACCACAGCACCCTCGCGAACAGCGCAGTGCGTTCTGTTTGGTTCGTTTGACCTTCGTTCACCTGCAGGCATTACCTTGTCTTCACCCGCACGAAAGGCGACTACCCGCTTTGATTAGCCCTTTCGCTGCAAATGTTGGGATCCTGAACACACCTGACATGTATCCAATGCCATGTTGAATGCTACCTGCATGCCTTGTGCTTTCTCGCGAAGCTTCCCAACACCCAAAGACCTGTGCAGGTAGATCACTCCCAGCCGACTCCTATTTTCGGCAGATCTGCTTGCGTTGGCTAACCATTTTCACTCTCGAATACAAGCTCAAAGGGCAACCTTTAGGTGTCATACCATGTCATACCTCCAGAGAATTGCAAACATCAAGGAAGGTCACAATGAGAAGGGCACAAATTGCTGCAGTGACACTGACACCGCAACGACAACCAAAACTTGGAGCTGAAGAACAAGCAACAAACGCAGGATACCCTCCAAACACTTGTCACCAGTTTTAAGGGGGTCAGGCAGGCAGCAAAATACGAGACTAAGTTAAGTGATGTTCAGTGTAAAAGAGTGTGATAAACTCTCCAGCTTTGTCCTCATGTGTTTTGTCTACTTCTTTATTGCAAGGTGGCCCCAACAGCCACACAATGGCTGCCAAGGAACATGCAAAGCAGAAGCTCCATCGTGATGTTTCCACTGCACCTGCGATGCAGCCCTTGTGACAGTTGCCAAAACCATCCAAAAACCATGAAGAATCGCACGTTTCTGATGACAAGCGGGAATGCATTAAGAACTGCACATCTGCGTTGCGGTTCAGCAACTCCAAGCACACGGGGGCATTTCCAGCCTGAGATGCAGTTGCCAAACAATGTTGAAAACCATCAGGCGTGCAAATGACAGAAGGGCATGAAACAAAAGAACCCGTACAATCTTCCTTAGTTGCTAGACATATCTATACATTTGCATTGTGCTCCCGCCCAAGAAAGAAGCCAGCAATCACACCAAGGAACTGCAAGAGCAGTGTTCAGCGGCGGAGTTTCCATCTTGGGCTCTTTTGCCTCAACTCCACACTTCCAACACTACGGGCCTTCTAACAATGAAACTCTTATCGTCAACGCCTTTCGTGTGACAAAGTAAGCTATAGAGTAAAGGAGACCAACACGGCCCTTCACTGCTGTGTCCAAGCCTCTAAGTTGGCTTTGAAATCCAACAGAAGGGAGACCACCTCCACATTGCCATGCCAGCATGCACTGTGAATGCCCGGTCCTCCAACAATGCAGTGGTGTCAGGAGTAGACTGATTCCGCGCTTCGGGAAGGATGAACTTTTTTTTATTGTGCATCGCTTCAGAACACATGTCACAATCTCTCGCTTAAACAAATTGCTGCCGAGACAGCACCTCTCTTGTTCTTTACAAAATCTCCCACTAGTGACCCTAATTGAACAACATCTTGACTCTGATCCCAGGCCTTTGGTGAGCGGATCCTCCTGGGTTGAAGGCCATCGCTAGTAGGTTGGAGGCAACGACCAGAGAAAACAGAGCAATTTGGGTACTGGAGACTCACAAACGACATTCCTTACATAAAGGACGCTACTACGGGCCCCTGGCCTTGCTATTAGGAGCAAGAAGCTACTAGGGGCTCCTGGCCTTACTACTAGGAGCAAGAAGCTACTAGGGGCACCTGGCCTTGCTACTAGGAGCAAGGACGCTACTAGGGGCTCCTGGCATCGCTACTAGGAGCAAGGACGCTACTAGGAGCAAGAAGCTACTCTGGCCTACTACTAGGAGCAACAAGTTACTACTTGCTACTAGGAGCAAGAAGCTACTAGGGGCTCCAAGCCTTACTGCCAGGAGCAAGAAGCTACTGGGGGCTCCTGGCCTTACTACTAGGAGCAAGAAGCTACCAGGAGCAAGAAGCTACTAGGGGCTCCTGGCACCGCTACTAGGCCTGGCCTTACTACTAGGGGCAAGAAGCTACTAGGGGGTCCTGGCCTTACTAGTAGGAGCAAGAAGCTGCTAGGGGCACCTGGCCTTACTACTAGGCTACTAGGGGCTCCTGGCATGGCTACTAGGAGCAAGGACGCTACTACGGGCTCCAAGGATGCTGCTGGGGGCCCCTGGCATCGCTACTAGGAGCAAGGACGGTACTAGGGGCTCCTGGCCTTACTACGCAGAAGCTCCTAGGCGCTCCTGTCCTTACTTACTACTAGTAACAAGAAGCTACGAGGGGCTCCTGGCATCGCTACTAAGAGCAAGGACGCTACTAGGCTCCTGGCATCGCTACTAGGAGCAAGGACGCTACTGCGGGCTCCTGGCCTTGCTACTAGGAGCAAGAAGCTACTAGGAGCGCCTGGCTTTACTACTAGGAGCAAGGACACTACTAGGGGCTCCTGGCCTTACTTCTAGGAGCACGAAGCTACTAGGGGCGCCTGGCCTTACTACTAGGAGCAAGGACGCTACCAGGGGCTCCTGGCATCGCTACTAGGAGCAAGGACGCTACTAGGGGCT